CCAGCGGACATACATGGATGACGTCTATGACGTTGTCCGGTTCCTCGGTCGGGGCAAGGGCTCGTTTCTCTTCTGGCCTAGGCTCTATGTATTCTTTCAAATGTCCGTCTCGGACCAAGCTTTCCAAGAATGACTTGAACACCCTGCAGCTCTCGGTGCGATGCCCGACATCCCGGTGATATGAACACCTAACTTTTTGATCACGGGTGGAGGGGTCGCTCTGCATCCTGGGCGGCCATTTGAAGAACGGCTCGTGTTTGATTTTATGGAGCAACCTGAAGATGGGTTCCTTGAAGACAGTGTGAACTCCTCTGGACGAACCCCCTGGATGGGGTAGCAATCCCTTTCGGGGAATATCTTCGCGCTCCTTCTCCTTTCTCTTGGATTGGAGGGCTCGGCCTTTGTTGCTTCCCATCTCGTCCTCGACCCTCGAGTACTTGTTGATCCGGGCCATCAGTTCCCCCATATCCGAGGGAGTCTTCTTGGTCAGGGATCGGTACAGGTCCGTGTCCCTCGCCAAGCCGAGCCGGAAGGATGCTGCTGCCATGACCTCCGAGCAGCCTTCTACCTCATTGACCTCTTCCCAGTATCGGATGGCGTACTGGCGAAGAGTCTCGGATTCCCTCCGTCTGAGGGTCAACAATGATCCAATGTCCTTGGGGCGCTTACTCCCCGTAATGAATCGGGTTAGGAACTGCCTTGTCAATTCTTTCCAGGACCCAATACTGTTTGGGGGAAGCGTCTCGAACCATCTCATCGCAGAGTCCCCCAAGCTCATAGGGAACACTCGGCATAGAAACCGTTGGTCCGAATGATAGAGGGACATCATCTGCTTAATTGTCTGATATGGGCTTCGGGATCGGACCGCCCATCATAGGTTTTGAACCGTGGCACGACGAACTTTCTTGAGACCTCCATCTCACTGATTTCCCTCGTGAAGGGTGTTTGCATGACTTCGTCCTCGGCCTCGTCCTGGACAGTCTTACCCTTTCTTCTGGAGTCTAATCGGGCTCTGAGATCTACTTCTTCCCTTACGGGATGCCTCCTGAAGTCCCTGGGTTCATCGGTAAGCCCCTCGTTTCCTGGGCGTCGTGTAGATTGGGTTGAGTCCTCCTCGGATTCATCTCCCTTCCTCCGTCTGGACAAACCCCGCCGGAGGTCGTCCAGGGCCAATGGCCTCGCTTTCCTAGAATGGTTGTCAAGATGATATTCGCCGGATCTGGGTCGCTTCGGGGCCCTGGAGCTTTCTGCTTTGCGGTCTAGGTGGTTTCTTAGATCCTTTGTCTCCGCCTCATGGACGGGGAGTCCTCGGGAAAGGAATGAATCCCTCGACCCTCCGCCTGAGGCGGCAAACTCGTCGAGCCGGCTAAGGACGTTTACATTGTCCTTCTCCAGCTGACGTAATCTATCGCCAAATTTTTCTTCAATCACCTCTGCCAGCTGTCGGGCCAAGGGGGCTGATCCTCCTGACCTGATCCCCATACTGGTTTGAGGGGTTACCCCCCTTGACCGAGTAGAGGCACTTTTAATCGTACTGGTGCGATCCCTCCCTCCGTGATGGCAGGGAGCTTGTAACTCATGACTCCTTTGGTGGGTTCCTTTCCCTTTCTGTCTGGTGTTCACCATGGTCACTGTTCTTTATAGAGAAAAAATTAGGAAAACTACTCGTTTCCCACAGACGGCGCCAGATTGTGCGTGCAAGATCCTACACAATATAAAAAACGGGAACAGATCTCTCCCCTGGTGAACTCGAGTGAGCCGGTTGAGTGACCAAACACGCTGCTTGGGGACAGCCTGTAAGGTACGGTGGTAACCTGGAACGGCAACGGGAGACCCTGGGAAAGGAAGAACGATCCTGTGTGAGTGGAAGGGGTTCCTGGAACAAAGAAAAACAAGTTAGAAGGGCGCCGGAGTATTTTCCGGCGTATCCCCTCCGACGGTCTAGTCAGTCTTTGAGTGAGAGAAGGGTAGGAGAAAACACTGAGAAAAATAGGTTATAGTAAAGAGCTTGTTGTTTCATCCCCGCTTAGCCTTTTGCAAGGAGTATTTATACCTTAAAGGCTCATGATTGCTGTCAGTGTGGTCAGCAGGTGATCATTAGGCACAGGTAGCGTGTGCATTGATTCTGATGAGGAATGTCTTCTCTAATTGACTGCTCGGGGTCCCGAGCATTCAATGCTCAGTTGTCGGGATGCCGACGGTACAATATGCTCCTCTCGGGGAGGATGCAATAAATGCTCCGCAATAGGAGCATTTATTGTCTTTCATTTTCGAGCCTTACCGCATTAAATGCGGTCTCATCAACAGAAGGGTGCCATTAATTGTTTGCTTTCCCAAGCAGTGTGTCAGCAGCGGCGTGCAGTTTGTCTGTCTCTGATGTGACATCATCTGCCACGCGTCCATCCCCTATTGGTGGTGACCTCTGCAATCCAGTATGTTCTGACATTACTTGTGTAAGACGAGGTCATGATGAGAAGGCTAGACAAGCCTGGGCTAGTGATCTATACGTCAACAGCTTGTCCTGGAATAGAGGAGGCATCCAGGACGGAGCGACTCTCGGCACCGAGGAAAGGCTTATCCCGGGGACCGAGGGGGTATGCGACCGAGGCACATAGATGACCGAGGACACGTGTTTGGTTGTATAACAGATTGAATGCATGATCCTATACGAGGGTACATCGGGGGCGAGGACATTCTGTGGCCGATAGTGCTTGATCCAAGCAACAGTGTTATAGCAGAACCGAGGACACGTGTCTTCATCATAGGTATTTCGGAAGAGTTCCATCAGAGATGTTGAGTAAGTTCTCGATGGTGGTGAGTGCTGGTGAAAATAGGCAAGAAAGCGGGGTTGATGGGGTGTTGGGATTACGTCGTTGGGTGTTAGGGCCATGGTACGGAGAGAGAGAGAGAGAGTGAGGTCAACGTTCGGGGGAGCATGGGTCTTGGGAATGTCTTGGGTCTGGGCATGGCCTTGGGTCTAGATTAGTAGTTACTGTGAGGGTAAAATGATCCGTAAATGATGTTCATCTAATATGGGTTTCAATGTAATTTTTAAAACATTAAAGGTGTCTATAATAAAATCAAATGTCAAGAATGTTGTGTAATTTACTCAAAAATTTATCCCCATAAAAACGTTTACTTTAATCCAAATTTGACTCTCAAGTATAGCATCATACTTTATTACAAAGCATCAAATTTCAATTACACTCAAAATTTTATCATCATAAAAATGTTTACTTTCATCCAAATTTGACTCTTTTATAATATAGCATCATACTTTATTACAAAGCATCAAATTTCAATCTAACTATAATTTTTTTGCTGTTCTTGTCACAAAATATTAGAATTTTTATTCCAACCTTTCTATTTGTTGTATTAAAACAACTTTTAAATTATTGTACAACAGAAAATAATATTTTAATTTCAAAAGAATAACAACCAAGGGGATTTTAACAAATAAAGAATTTATACTTTGTTTGGTAGGAAAGATAAAAAAAATAAGAAGGATACACTTTTTTTTTTTTTTTTGTTTGATTGTATAGATGAAAAATAAAAATAACTAATTTTTTTTTATTTTTTGGTACTGACTAAAATTAGAGATGACAATCGAGTCATATCGTATCAGATTCGTGTTAAGTCATTACGGGTTTGTGTCAAATATTTGTTAAACCTAACTCAACTCATTTAACTAAATGTGTCTTGTCAAATTGTCAGTTAACTTGTTTATTTTCATGTCGTGTTTGTGTTCATGTTCATATTTGTGTTGACTCACATAAATTTTAAATAAAAAAATTTAACGTTAATATTCTATTTTTGCTTAATTGATGGTATCAATTTTAGCTTTGACTTGATTGAATTGCATATAAGACTTTTATATTTCTTGTTAACGTGTCAAGTCATTTTCAAGTTCGTGTCGAATTATAATCAAGTTTGTATCATAAAATTCGTGTTGAGTTCGAGTCATATCATCGTATTAAATCGAAATTTTTCACACCTAATTAAGATAAAAAAAAAAAATTAATTTTAATTTTATTTTTATTTTTTAAATATTTTGACGAATATATATATATATATATATATATATATATATATATATATATATATATATATATATATATCATTATATTTTTATTTATATATTAAAATAAACGTAAATAAATAAAATAAATTCTAACACAAATGATTAATTTTTTACCCACTTTTCTTCCGATTTTAGAGGAATTAATTTTGGTGAGTTAAAAAAAAAAATTAATTCATCTACTTTTATATATATCTTTTTTATTTTCCTTCCTTATCATAAACATTTTATTTATTCAATCTAACTTCTCATTGTTTTCAACTTTTCGTCCATCCGCACCAGAGCATTAAGGATAAACGAGTTGATTGGGAGAAGAAAATGAACTTCAGTAGTGAATTTCTACCATTACATTTGCATCCACTATCTGCTTAAATCAAAATAAAACTAATAGATCTCATCATACATATAATAAAGCACTACATGAACAATAACAAACCAAGAGTTGAGAAATAATGCCTTTTCATTAAATATATGCATAGGAACAAGGCCAAGACATTTTTTTTACAATATTACGGATGAACCAAATTGACAAACATTAACAATACTGGTAACAAAATATGAGATAATCTTCGTGAGGAAAGGGAGAAATCTATGTCTCTGCTTAGGTAGCCCACACAATCTATGTTTATTTTTAGAAGTTTTCCAATGTTTTTTTGCTCTTCCAATTTCACAGAAAATTTCCTCCCAACCCCCCAAAAAAAGAGATTAATACTCTCTTCAACCCCAATTATATTCTAATTCCAATGACTGCTGCTACTACTACCAAATACATATACAGAATCTTCAACTTGTCACTTCCAAAATGGCAATTAGATCCATTTCCATCTTCTTCATATTCACATTCAGACAGAAACAACAGTGCCAACCACAAATCAACCAAGCAAATCATAACCAATGACCATAAAAACACTTCCTTCCCAATTCACTTTACCAGTTCAGAAACCCAACCCACATCTGGATTTGGAGAATCCGGAGGATTATTCAGGTCAACCCGTCCCAGTGGATTTTCCTTGCTTAATTTCTCAAACATCTTGGTCCTCACGTCCCTCCCTGACTCGACCCTCTCCATCAGAGGCTCCCCCTCACGCCCACCCATTTCTAAGAGATCAAATTGCCCCATTCCGATCCGGGTCAAAGCCCGGGTCGGTGTCGATGGCAGACTACAGAAACCGGGTCGGTTCATTGGTACTCTCGGCGAACCCATAGCGGAACCCATCTGTAAAGTCCAGGACGATGGTATAGACTTGACCTTGTTAAGCTGCAACTGCCGGAGGGAAGTCACCATTTCATTGATCGAGTTCGAACCCAGCGACCTACTCAGTGAACTCGTACCCATCGGCGACATCGGCGGAGACTCAGTCGGCGGCGAAACCGAATCAGAAGAGGACATAAAAGTCAACCCTTTAGCACAAGAACCCTCCAAAGCAAATCTATGAGGCGACCCATCATATGAATCGGATCTCGGACTCAACACTCGGAGTTGGTCCGGCGAGTGAGCGAAGAAACAAACCCGCCGACGACAGTGTTGCCCATCTTTACAGGGCTGCGTACGATAGCGAGAAGGGTGGAGCCAACACTCAAATACGCCGTGTGCGAACTCACAGGCATCACCCTTCTTACACACACCCTTGCGAAAGTCAGGACAAGCTGTGCCGGAGTAGTTGCACTTACGTGGGTCCCTCCGGCGAGCCTTCTCGCCGGGATGAGCGAAGGGGCACTCCGTCCAGTCATGTGACCTCGCACGTGCGCACTTTCGAACCTTGAACTCGTACATCCGGAAGTTATCGCATGTGTACGCATCCACCGGAAGATCCAAGTCATACGCGAAACCGTCGTCGGTAAGGTCGATGTCGCTGTCGTCTGTATATGACTGAAGATAACGCTGGAGGGCAGTCAGAGAGTCTGCTGAAAGTAAAGTATAGAAGTCGTCGGCGTTATTGAAGTTGGCATTGCCGTTAGGGCTGCCGTAGAAGAGACTAGCCGTAGGATCATCGTTGGAGGTCCATGTAGGAACATGGACCACCGGACTATGGTTCCGCTCTCCGATCATCATTTTTTGTGGTTGTTTGGACTCAGTAAGGTTGGTTGTATATAAACTGATCGAGGAGTGGAGTTTGACCATGGTTAGGTTATTTGTAACCATGGTCAGATTAAAACAATGGGTTCTTTGAATTTCTACTGCAGTTAAAATAATAGGAAATGCTAATACCACGGCATAACAGCTGACGAGTTGTAGAAGGCCTGTACTATGTGACACGTTCGAAAGGATATGGCAAGTAATTTTTATCAGTTTATTTGGGCCCCGCTAAACTAAAAAAACAAGATTTGCCTTTTTAATAATTTTTTTTTTGCAATTATTTTGAAATATTTTTGTATATTTCAACTAATATTTTAGAAAAATAATTCTTAATTTATTTATTTTATTTTTGAAGCATATCGAAATATTTTTAAAATACATTAAAATATTTTATTTTCCTAAATAATTAAAAAAATGCACCGAAATAAAAATTATGATGGTGAATTATAAAATTTGCCCACAACATCAAATAATTGAATTTTAAATCTATTTGAATGACTTTTTACGTGATATAATTTAGTCTTGAGTAATATTATTTGGACATAAAAATTAATTTTATAATATGTTAAGTGATAGTGTCTTAATTCAAAAATTTTAACGACAACAATCACAATAATAGTATTAGACTGTATGACTATCATATTATTTATTCAATAACAAATTATTTCTCGTGGCTGAAGATACGAAGTAATAAAAAAAATAGTTAACAATAAACATATTTATATTTATACCGAAAATCAAATTATAAAGATAGAGGAAATAAAAAAGAATTTAAACACCGATTACAATTGGCGCGTGAGCAGTGATAGTAATGATAAACAGTAATGGTGGTGGTGAGAAACGGTGATAAGATGGTGGTGGTGGGATAGTTGTGGGGGTAGTAGTGGTGGTGATGATTGCTATAGAAGAAATGTTGGTGGAGGTAGGGCATTTGTAGGGTTGCGGCAGTGGTGATGATGATAGGGGTGGGGCGACGGGTGTTATAATGGTTGTTGCGTGGTGACAATGATGGTAGTTGTTGAAGCTAAGGTGGTGGTGTGATGGCAACAATGGTAGTGGGGGTGGGATGGTGGGGCGATGGTAGTGAGACAGTTTCAAATACTATTTTTTTTAAAGTACTTATGAAAAATTATAAATCTTATGAGTACTTTTAAAAAAATTATCACAAACACACATTTATGGTCTTATTTTTTCTATTAAATTTGACGTGTTAATATTAACTGTTGGATTAATTTTAAAAACAATATTATTAGAAACGGACCGACCATCTAGTAAGGAGACCAGATCAATGGTTCACTCGTTCAACTGTTAGGTCAACTAGTCGGACCGGTTATATAATAAAAAATTAAAAAATATAATAATTTAGCAAAAATATATGAAATATATCCACAATGTATATAATTTGTCCATAAAATTAATGAAATTAAGTATTAAGCAAATTAAAAAAGAGACGAAACAAAATATTTTCAAGTAAATAAAAATCCGATGCAGTAAATAAAAACAGATTAAAACATGATTAAAAGAGCGGACAAAACAAAGCAAATACAAAACAAAGCGTAAATACTCTCTCTCTCTCTCTCTCTCTCTCCTCTGTCAAAATTGAGCAGTCGATTATTTTTTCTTACCCGCCGTTTGATTTGCTCTGGCTAGACTTCTGCTCTTTCGACCTAATAATTTCATGGAGTTAGCGATGACAAAACAGATAAGTTCTTTCACCGTCCAAGTCCAATAACAACATCGTTAACCCCACCGCCTGAATGGTCACCTCCATGGCCTTCTCTTCCTCGCCTGAATGGTGGATGGGTGATGGGTAGTCGCTTGAGCTGTAAAGGAGTAATATTCGATTTAGGGCAAATGTCCCAAAAAAAAGTTTTTATATATATATGTGTGTGTGTGTGTGTGTGTGAATCCCTGAAATTCAAATTGTTCGACCAAAACTGCTAGGTTCATGTTTGATCCAAATTCGACCAGTTTAGCGATTTTTCGACGATTTACTTCTTTATGCTAATTATAGAATCGTACCGTTTTAAGTCTCGATTCATAGTTCAACCGGTCTGATTTTACTAACATTGTTTTAAAGTAAAGTTTAAAAAGATCTCAACTGTAAAAAATAAAAATTATTTTATTTATTTTTAAAATTTGAATTGTATTGTATTTTATTATTTAAATAATATATTATTTTTTTAATATGTTTCTTTTTCAGATTTCAATAATATTATTTTAATTTTGTAATATGTTAATTTTTTAGATTTCAATAATATTATTTTATTAATTATATTGTGATCTATTAATTACCTTAATTTTGTTGAGGTGGGTAATTTTTTTTGTAATTCGCCTTGGAGGGATTCCTACGAGCGGCTAGTTTGTTTTGAATGTTTGGAAAAATAATTATTAAACTGACGGCCCATAGAGTTCCAAATGCGGTGGAAGTGACGAAAAGGGCATGTAAGGGGCTTAGGCCTGTGTAATGACAGACAGACACACATGGGCCGTGAATTTTGTGATTTTTTCTTTTTTGTTAAAATAAATTTTGGGATTTGAGAAAACAAATTTAGGCCTTTTTCAAATCAGTCACTTGTCGGCTTTTCACAAACTCCGACCCCACTTTTTACGGCCATAGTTGTACGAAATTAATAAAATTATAAATAATAATTTTGTGCAGGGTTGTTCAAATTTACGATCGGTCACAAATTTTTATTCTATCTTACTAAATGGCTAGTCGTAAAAATTAAGTAAAAATACAGAAGAGTTTTTAATTTTTCGACAATTTTAGAGTAAGAATGAGAAATAGTCATTCATATTCGCATTCCTATCCTACCATACCCACAATAATTTTTTAATATATATATAAACTAAAAAAACCCTAAATCCTAACCACAGACGAAATAATTATGATTTTAATGTATTTTATATGGTTTAAAGTTTAAACTTAAATTAATTGTTATTGTATTTGTGTAATAATTATGATTGATTGATGTTCATATTTTCTTGTATTTTATTATAATTCTTGTTGTAGTAGTTTTAGATTTTAATGTTAATTGATTTATAGTATTGTTAAATTGGTGCATGTTATTTAATTAAATTGTTAAAATGATCCAAAAATTAATTGTTACAAAAATATTTACCCTATTAATCGGGTAGGAATGCCACACCTGTCGAGTAGGATAGGCCAAGAAAAAACTCTTCCGTAAAATATTGAGTAGAAAGACGGAAAAACATATTTCATACTCGTAGGGTAGGGTGAACACCCCTAATTTTGTGTCTAAATACATTCTATAATAATAATAATTAATAATTAATTAAATAATTTAAAATTAAATTTACAAGAGAGAGATGGGTGTAAACTAACATAGTTCTCTCGCATTGGAAAGTGTGTTGTATAGTTTTTTGACATTATTGACCGTGCAAAAAAAAAATTTATGTTTTAAAGCAAGTAAAGAAAAAATTAGAATGAATCTTATCCCCGCTGAATTAAAGTGATGAAAATTTGATGACCAATGTTACATGGGTAAAAAATATAAACAATATTTGCTGGAGTAGTGTTATGTAACTCAAATTTGTATTTCAAATTAAAGAGGATCAATGGGTCCCGTTTAAAAAAATTGATAGGATCCACTGATCTAATGATCCTCCTTAATTTGATATGCAAATTTGGGATACATATTATTAGTCTATTTACTGAATCTCGACATCACTGTTATTGATTAACCGTAAATTCCAAGTATTTATTGGAACCCAACTTATTAAATGGTTCAGATGAAAGGAGTCAATTTTTTATTCAAATAGCATTTATAAAATTTGATTAATCTTTACCCTTTTATAAGTTAAAAATTTAACTTTTTAACTGTAATACTAAATAAATTATTTGTGATAATTGATAGAATGTTGTGCTCAAACAAATTATTTCAATCAATTATAATTTAACTTCCAAATGTATTAATTTTTTTACCATTAAATTTTGATCAATATTGGCCTATTTTTTTATGTTTTTATAAGTTAAAAATTCATCTTTCTAAGTGCAATATTAAATAGATTATTTGTGGTAATTATAGAATGTTGTGATTGAATAAATTATTTAAATTGATTATAATTTTTCTTTGTAAATGTATTAATTTTTTTAATCCCTCATAAGATAAAATCAGTTTTTGAGAGTTGTAATTTACATGCTAAAAATTATAATTTGACATTAAATATTATAATTTGATAATTTGATGTTATATGTTCCTTAAGATTTAAATGTTCAAAAGGAATTTATACTTAAAAAAGGCTTATTTGTTATTATCACTATTAGTTCAAAAAAACAATATTGATCAGACAACACTTATAGTTATATTTTTAATTATATAATTTAATATTATAATGAATATATAGAAAATAAGGGACATATAGGGAAGAGAGAAGAGAGAGTTAGGTGTAGGTGAATGGATTTGGTTTGTTATATATAGAGGCTGGGTGTATTTGGTTGTTTTATATTAAAGATTGTGCAGAGAAAATAATATTTTAGAGAGCGATTTTTTTTTGAAAATAATTTTTGTACCATTTCATGAAATTAGATAAAGTCCCACAAGTTATTTTGCTTGCATAAATATGCAATTGAAATTTCTAACTACAAATATTAGATAGACCAACAATAATTTCGTATCCAAAGACACTCTCTAATACCTAAACTAGAACATTGGTAAGCAATATTTATATTTTAAATAAAAATTTAATTTTTTTTAATCATGTAATTAAAATTAAAGTCAACATTAGGGGTATTCAAATTTATGATTTCTGCATATTTCGACCCTTCCCAACCCTAATAATCGGCTATCGCAAAAAATTGAGTAGGCCAATGGAAGAATTTTTAATATTTAGCAAAAATCAGGTAAAAATGTAGAATACTTATAAAAATTTCGTATCCTTACTCGACCCAACCCACATACACACACACACACACGTGTGTGTGTGTGTGTGTTGATGTTAATGAATTGTTT